CACGTCTCTGTCCCCACAGGCCTTCAGCCGGGCGCACCGCATCGGCCAGGCCAACAAGGTGATGATCTACCGGTTTGTCACGCGTGCGTCGGTGGAGGAACGCATCACGCAGGTGGCCAAGCGCAAGATGATGCTGACGCACTTGGTAGTGCGCCCGGGGCTGGGCTCCAAGGCCGGCTCCATGTCCAAGCAGGAGCTTGATGACATCCTCAAGTTCGGCACTGAGGAGCTCTTCAAGGATGAGAATGAGGGTCAGCGCCCGATGGGGTTGGGGATGGGTGGGGCAGGGTGTGCCGGGCTTTGGGGGGGATATGGGAGGCGGTGGTGGAACGCGATGAAATGTGGGAGGCCGTGGGGGGTCGTGGGAGGCCGTGGTAGGACCTGGGAGCCCATGGTGGGCTGTGACTGGGCCCGCAAAGCCGTGATGAGGTGTGCAACGTCATGGTGGCGCCATGATGGGTCACGCAAAGCCATGATGGGATGTGCAAGGTCACGATGGCTTCACGATGGGTCGTGCAGAGCCGAGGTGGGATGTGCAAGGTGATGATAGGTCATGCAAAGCTACGGTGGGATGTCTGAGGTCGTGACGGGATGTGTGAGGTCATGGCAGGACGTGCGGGGCCATGACAGGACATGGCAGGCCATGAAACGTTATGAAAACCTATGATGGAACGTGCAAGGACATGATGAGGTCACGATGGGACATGCGAGGCCATGGCGGGATGCGTGAGGCCATGGTGGGACGTGCGAGGCCGTGGTGGGACACATGAGGTCGTGATGGGGCTGTGACAGGTCATGAAAAGCCATGATAGGACATGCGAGAACATGATAGTGTCATGATGGGGCCCGAGAGGCTGTGATGGGACGTGTGGGGCCAGGATGGAACACATGAGGCCGTGATGGGACACGTGAGGCTATGACAGAAGCTGTGAGGCCATGGTGTGAGAGGCCGTGACAGGGCTGCGATGGGACACCTGAGATGGTGGCGAGGTGTGTGAGGCTGTGCCGTGCTGTACGGGGCTGGGACAGTCCACGTCAGTGTGCGTCGGGCCATTCTGGGCCATGCCGGGCCACGTCAGGCTATGCTGGACCGTGTCGGGCTGTGTTGGGTTGTGCCAGGCCATGCCGGTCCATGTTGGGGCATGCCAGGCTGTGTTGGGCCGTGTTGGATCATATCAGGCCCTGTTGGACTATATTTGGCCAGGTTGGACCGTGTTGGACCACCATATTGGACTGTGTCAGTCCATGTCGGGCCGTGTTGGGCCGTGTCAGGCTGTGTCAGGCCATGTCAGGCCGTGTTGGGCTGTATTGGGCCATGCTGGACCATATTTGGCCAAGTTGGACCATGTTGGACCACCATATTGGACTGTGTCGGTCCATGTTGGGCTGTGTCAGGCCATGTTGGGCTGTGTTGGGCTGTGTCAGGCCATGTCAGGCTGTGTCGGGCCATGCTGGGCCATACTAGGTTTTGTCAGGCTGCGTTGGGCCATGCTGGGCTGTGTGGGGCCATGTTGGACCATATTGGACTGTGTTGGGCCATGTCAGGCCGTGTTGGGCTGTGCTGGACCACGTCAGGCCATGTTGGGCCCTGTCGGGCCATGTCAGGCTGTGTTGGTCTATGTTGGGCCGTGTTGGGCCATGTCAGGCCGTGTTGAGCCGTGTTGGGCTGTGCTGGGCTGTGTGGGGCCATGTTGGACCATATTGGACTGTGTTGGGCCATGTCAGGCCGTGTTGAGCCGTGTTGGGCTGTGCTGGGCTGTGTGGGGCCATGTTGGACCATATTGGACTGTGTTGGGCCATGTCAGGCCGTGTTGAGCCGTGTTGGGCTGTGCTGGGCTGTGTGGGGCCATGTTGGACCATATTGGACTGTGTTGGGCCATGTCAGGCCGTGTTGAGCCGTGTTGGGCTGTGCTGGGCTGTGTGGGGCCATGTTGGACCATATTGGACTGTGTTGGGCCATGTCAGGCCGTGTTGAGCCGTGTTGGGCTGTGCTGGGCTGTGTGGGGCCATGTTGGACCATATTGGACTGTGTTGGGCCATGTCAGGCCGTGTTGAGCCGTGTTGGGCTGTGCTGGGCTGTGTGGGGCCATGTTGGACCATATTGGACTGTGTTGGGCCATGTCAGGCCGTGTTGGGCTGTGCTGGACCATGTTGGGCCATGCTGGACTCTGTTGGGCCGTGTCGGGCCCTGCTGGGCCACGTCGGGCCACGCTGGGCTGTACTAGGTCACGTCAGGCCGCGTTGGGCCGTGTTGGAGCGTGCCAAGGCCATGTTGAGCCGTGCTAGGCCCTGCCGGCCCGAGTCAGGCCATGTCAGCAGCGTGTCGCCGGCGCAGGGGAGAACAAGGAGGAGGACAGTAGCGTCATCCACTACGACAACGAGGCCATCGCCCGGCTGCTCGACCGCAACCAGGATGCCACCGACGATGCCGACGTGCAGAACATGAACGAGTACCTCAGCTCCTTCAAGGTGGCCCAGTACGTCGTGCGTGAGGAGGACAAGGTGCGCCTGGGGGATGGGGACACGGGGACACGAGATCGGGTGTGAAGGGGGGGGACGATGGGGACGCTGGAGATGGTGGAGGTGGAGATGGTGGAGGTGGAGATGATGGGGACGGGATGGTGGAGATGGGGACGCTGGAGATGGTGGAGATTGGGACGCTGGAGATGGTGGAGGTGGAGATGATGGGGACAGGACGCTGGAGATGGTGGAGGTGGAGATGATGGGGACGGGATGGTGGAGATGGGGACGCTGGAGATGGTGGAGATTGGGACGCTGGAGATGGTGGAGGTGGAGATGATGGGGACAGGACGCTGGAGATGGTGGAGGTGGAGATGATGGGGACAGGACGCTGGAGATGGTGGAGGTGGAGATGATGGGGACGGGATGGTGGAGATGGGGACGCTGGAGATGGTGGAGATTGGGACGCTGGAGATGGTGGAGGTGGAGATGATGGGGGACAATGGGGATGATGGAGGTGGAGATGATGGGGACGATGAGGATGGGGACAATGGGGACGATGGAGATGGTGGGGACGATGGAGATGATGGAGGTGGAGATGATGGGAACAATGAGGATGGGGACAATGGGGACGATGGAGATGGTGGGGACGATGGAGATGGAGGTGGGGACAATGGAGATGATGGAGACAGATGACGGGGAAGATGGGGACAATGGGGACAATGGAGATGGGGGTGATGGAGAAGGGGACGGTGGGGAGGGGGGTGGTGGGGATGATGAAGACAGTGGAGATGGGGGGGACGGAGACGGGGAGGATGGAGATGATGGGGGCAGTGGAGACAGGGATGGTGGAGTCAATGGGACTGGAGATGATTGAGATGGAGACAGATGGTGAAGGCAGCGGGCACGTGAGCGATGGAGATGGCATTGGAGATGATGGGAATGACGGAGCCATGGAGAAGGGGACAGTGGGGATGATGGAGATGGGAATGATGAGGACAGTGGAGGTGGAGAGGATAGGGAGATCAAGATGACGGAGAGCAGGAGGATGGAGGTGACAATGGGGATGATGCAAACAATGGAGATAGGGATGATGGTGGTGGGAATGATGGAGATGGTGGGGACAATGGAGACGGAGGTGATGGGGATGATGGAGATGAGTATGATGGAGGTGGAGATGGGGATGATGAGGACGATGAGGATGACGGGGATGATGGAGGTGATGGGGATGATGGAGGAGGGGATGGGGATGATGGGGATGATGTAGATGATGGAGGTGATGGGGATGATGGAGGTGATGGAGATGGGGGTGATGGAGGAGATGGGGACGATGGAGGTGGAGGTGATGGAGATGGGGATGATGTAGATGATGGAGGGGATGGGGACGATGGAGGGGATGGAGATGGGGGTGAGGGGGGGG